TACCGTGCAATAAATCAAAAATTTTTAACTCCCCTAAACACTATAATCATTAATCACTGAATGGTAAAAAGGTTTAATTACAACATTCCATCATGAAGAATTACCGATAAAAAAATTTACCACTTGAAAAATACTTTAATTTGTAGTATCGACATATTAAATACTAATCACGCTACCATTATCAATACGAATTTGACCTTTGAACTGGTTACAGGATTGTAATTAATGATTTGCAACAGAGGATAGCTTTGAAGAGAAACCATTAAAGTGAATCTCCATTATAATCACCTCATTGCTATAATTACAAATACTCTGTAGGGTGCAATGTCAGCAAAGGAATACGCGCATTAGACCTTAGATCATTGTCTTTCGATCATCCGACACTAGAGCGATTAATCCTAGAATGAAGATTATAAGAGGGAGGAACAATATCCAAACGTAGTACTGCATTCAGATTACATAAGCAAGAGCGAGTCACTTGGCAACTGACATCACGGAAAGGACAGATTCCGGAATCTTCGGAATCCCATAATCCGATTCCGGTAGGGATGGAAACTATCACGACGTCGGTAGCAAGAGATTTGGAGACATTCCATTAAGCGGCGCATAATTTATGACGTCCGTAGGAGTAATAAAAGCAAAGTCAAACTTCCACCCGTAAGAGAAGAATCCTAAAAACGAATGCCACCTACTTCCCTTAGAGAGATTTAGGGGTTTTTAGGGGGAATCAATGATCAAAGCACCTTCTGCTGTAGTAGTCTAACGATAAAATTTTCCGGAAAAGGTATTAATCCTAACGTAAAAAAAGGAATGTGTGGAATTTTGCGAGGGACTTTACAAGATACTAAAGATAGATACGTGTTTCTGAATGAAATTTTCGGGTATAGTCGATGGCGATTTTTATACAGCTTCTTTTTTACAGTACGTCATCGGTCTTATACAATTTGACATTCGGGATAGCATTCTAAATACGTATCTCACAACACAGGAAGGATTTTAACATATTTACGTAAGAGCGACAGGAAGCCAAAGTTTGTGACCTTTTCTAATAGAATTATCATGTAAACTTATATGCAATACGTGCAATTAATCGAAACGTTTATGGGACTGAATTTCGATTACTACAACACCGAAACTTTTCAACTCTGGTAAGGACATTGAAAGAAGAAATTCCAATACATCTTTGTATTCCTGGGGTAATAGATTAATCGCACGATATTCCCATGGGTAACAGACTCGTGCCCGCATATCAACAAAGATGTACGAGAAACTAGAAAGAAAAATCACTTGTAAATACAAATGCAAATTCGTTTTACTTGATTGTTTACGGCTCTAAGGAGAAAGAATATTCTCTTCTGATTCTGTTATAGGAACCATCACGTTGATACAAAACTGAATTTATTGTTTATTCTCTAGTTTTCAACTTATGAATAAATTTGTACTGGATAAACTTTGATAAACAGCATCTTCATCTTTCTTATCTTCGTTATACATCACTCGATATTTTAAAATAAAAAAAATTAAATGCATTATTACTTATAAAATTAAATGTAGACTAATTTTATACGTCATTAAAACAATTTAGATAAAAATTTAAATACATTTTACGTCAAATTTTTGTATTTTAAAATATTATATCGCTGCTGCCATCTGTTGGCAGAATTGGACATTTTTTTAAAGAATAAACCATTTCGGGCCCCGTTTACTGGCTGACCGTCAATACTCCATACGGCCATATTTTTCATAATTTAAATCAAAAAATATTTTAGAAGTATAAAATTAAATCCTCGATATAAACTATTATTCCATTTGCTAACTAAATTAAAAGTAATGTTAAAGAATAGATTTATAAACAGTATTAAGTGATGAAATGTAGCAACTATTAAACTATTAGTGTGATGAATACCCTATACTGTCAAAACAGGTTATTTAAGCTGTCATTAATCTTCCTAAACTTGCATTCTAGTATACTTAAACTAAATATTTAAACTGATAACAGAGCTTAATAACATAAGTGATATATAATATACAAGGCCGAAACCGTTTAACAACTCGACAGCGATACTTCATTAACTGCATACAATCAGGTACGGACATAAAAATCAAACTGGTATTATAAAAATTTGTATATATATATAAAAAGTATAAGTAGTTATTGTTAAATAGGCTATACAAGTTTTAAGTTAGTGAGCCATTTGGAGCCATGTACGCAGTCACGCAACATTAATAAATTCGGTGAACTTCGTGACACCGAATTGCTTGGATGAGTTTAGTCGCAGTAAATTCTACAAATTTAAACTTGATAGCTTTTAACTACCGTGTAACAATGTTTAATTTTTATTTCTCTACATAATCCACAAAAGTACAAGTCTAAAAATCCGTGCGAAACTCTCACGTCGCTCTTAGCGACAAATGTGTGTCTGAAAATTTTTTATTAATTTTCAACAATACTGTGGAAGATTTTTAATGAAATTTTCCACAAACGTTAAAGATTATAAATAAATATTAATATTTAAAAAAGGTGGTTAATAAATTTATTAAATAATTATACCAGTCTGGATTTAACTCAGTTCGCATGTACAGTACAAGAATTTAGAAAGGTTGTATATGTGTTTGATGGTAGAACTGTTACTAGAGGAAAGATTTAATTGCCGGATATAAATTCCATCTGCTAACTAATTAAACTCCCTCTTAATATAGCACCAACGTTCCCAACCCTGACAGTTGTGCACGGAACAGTTCCGTGTACAAAGTACAGCGAATTTGAGGTGCTACAACAGTAATTTTAGCTAAAATATCATCTGTTATAAACAGCTTTCTAACAATGACAAGTAGAGACTTTTATATTTGCCTCGTTGAATTACATTTCACTCTGTCTTTATATTTATTTCTTCAATTATCCTTTTTTTTTTTTCTTAGTAATATCTCTTCTAGTGATAGACTGGCTTTTATAAATTTATTACTTCACCTTTCTTCTTTGTATTGTTAAATGTGTAATTTCTAAATAGAGTTAACTAAAATAGCATTTTCTGTTGCAATCTTTAATGAATTATATTTAATGTACCCCAAGTCGGAAATTTGCGTTTTCGCTCTTTATTGATTTACCACTAGAAAAATAATAATAATAAAAAAAAAGATGAAGTATGGAGCACCGAGTCGCTTTAATTTGCAATATATTTTAACTAGAGTTTCTTATTACAGTAGAAGTATTGTTAAATTTGTAAATATATTCTTAGATAATTAGAAAGTGATAAGTGTCAAATTTTAATTTTTATATTTGCTTTGATACGATAATAATTTACGTTTGGGAATGAACGTTTTCTGCTATCATTTTCCTCCCCTTTTCTTATTTATTTTTTATTTTATTTTTTGCTCGTCCCATAAGAATGGAATGATCTTTAACAACATAATAAACATTTCTAGAACGAAAAAAGGTGGTTTTTATTGTGGAATTACTCTGCTGTACTTCGTCAAATCGCCGATTTATTGTCTTTTTTTCCTGATGTATCGTCTCAATGAAAGTCTAGGGGAAAAAAATCTTTATAGTATATATCAATGATGACAAAACAAATCTCGAGTAGACACGATGCATATGTTAATACAGTTAAAAATAAGCAATCCAGTATTCTCTCTCTCTCTCCTTTCACATTCTCCGGTCATATCGAGTAAAATTAATGCATGAATGATAGAAAATAAGCTTAATATATAGTATAAATGATATAATACCTGTCTAAGTTTAAAACGTGATAATAATTTAAGAAAATTAGCAAAATATTTAATTTTTTAAACTTAAAATAAATTATGTATAGAAATCGGTATGCAACCTGTGAGAGCTTTTAAAGCCAGGAAAAAACACGGAAGAAGAAGCATTTTAAAGTCGAGTCATTAATCTAACGCTTCCATAAATCCAACTCTAACTAAAATCAATCTATCTTATCACAGAAACCAAGTTTATTATTGTAAAACTTTAGTAGAATTTATAAGATTTCTAACCAATAGTAAAGATTTAAAAGCATTTTTTAAAAGGTAGATAACATTGGAGTGTGTAAAAGAGGTCTTTCCAATATCGATAGAAGTTTGGAAACATGTAGAATAAGCAAAAAAGGAACAAACCCTTATCTCGTGAGGACACACACTTTTCCAATCTCTAGTTCATAAGTAGAAGAAAAGAATAGTTTTCTTTAAAAATTTTTGCGTCGTTTCTGGTCATTGCCCCCTGATGGAACTCTGCAAAGAGAAATTGCGCGTGAAGATGATTCCTAATGCTGTGGCCTAGAGTCTTAATATGGAAATGGTCTACTACAGAAAATTGGAAGAAACTTCCATAATTGAGTAATTCTTATCAAATTTTCGCAAAGTTTAACGGTTCAATGGTTACAAAATTAATAAGGGGAGAAGCAACCAAGTCTCTTAATTATGAAGAGCGAAAAATTAATTATTCATAAAGTAACGCGCGGTGCCATTGATAAAACGTAAGTTTCGCGTATAACGCGCAAAAATTTTTAATTAATTAATTAAACTTTATCAAAATTTAATTTAATTTTTAATCTTTCCAACATTTTTTTTAACCATTTTGCGTTATGGAGATGAAGAAGAACAGTTTACATACCTGAAGACTCCTTTTTTCTTTAATGTTTTTTGTTTTTTTAACTTGTCAGCCGTATTGTCACTTCATCTTTTTTATTATTTAAGTTACCGTTTCTTCCAGCATTTCAAATGAAATTTATAAATTCACGTCTTTTCAACGTTTCAATTCCCTCCTCCAGCGAAACATAGCAAACCTTCCCAATGCTCTTCTCAAGCTGAAAAGCGGACGACACGTGAGAGACCGATAAACCGTCTTTCGATTGGTTACAATTAAAAAATTCAAAAAAATAACTTTAATTTGAAATTTTATATGAAATTATTAATTTTTATTTATAAAATAGTATTAATTTACTATAAAAGTTTAATTATTTCGTTTAATTAGTAATTTATTGTATGGTATGGATCACATGGAACGTGACGTCACATCATGCATGGTGGACGTCGTTTGGTGTTGATTTGTTAAGCATTTGTTGCTTTGCAAGAATAATTTTTAATAAAAAAGATTGTTTATATGGGTGAGTAGATGATAAATGATAAGTTTGATGCTTTAAGATTGATATTTTGCCTAAATATTAAAGCAAATAAGCCATTAAAACAAGGTTACATGCTTTGTTTATGGTGTGTTTAAATGTAAATAATGCTCAGCTGTTTGAAGCAATTTACTTAAAATCTTATGAATTTTTGCTTTAAAAATGCATTATGTAAGCTATAAAAACATAAAAATAACCAATAAACCAATTATAATTGTTTATTATTCACATGATGTTTGGCATATTGAAAAACTACAGTTCATTCATTCATTCATTGACAGGTGTTAGAGCCTAATTTGTATAAAATTTACTAGATGTGTGACAAGAACATTGTCTTAATGACTGAAAAATCTTCCCTTCACACAATTTCTACATTAAAATTCATTTATATTATCTTTTAGGTACAATTGCACTTCTTAATGAAGTAGTTGGGACATTATCAGAGCTCCAAAGGAGTAAAAAGGTATATAATTTGGGGTACAAACTCCTCATTCAGAACTGCAATTTTACCTTGTTTTATTCACATATATTTTTAAAATAAACCTCCACATTTTACACGTTTCACTGGTTAAAAGCCTTTGTTAGCCTGTTGTAATTCATATATATACAAGTTTAAAATTAGTTTTGTGATAATTAATGTTACAAACTGAATGATTTACAGTACATTAAATCATAAGAATGTACAGATCAAATAGCTTGTTTGTTAAATGTTTGTTTAAATGTTCTTTTATTCATTACTATCTTAAAACAAAAAATTTAGTTTTTTAGTAAAGTTAAAAGTATTTCAGTAAATGTAACAGATCTGTGAATTATATAATTAGTTTTGCTGTGTAATATCCTTAAATATGCATGTTTACATCCTATCAGGGCTGTGGAGTCGCGTAAAAATCTATCGACTCCGACTCCAACTTTTCCTTACCCTCTGACTCTGACTCCGACTTTTCCTTACCCTCTGACTCTGACTCCGGCTAAAACACCAAAACTCCACGACTCTGACTCTGACTCCACAGCCCTGCATCCTATAGTATGACTTATAACATGTTTGTATGCCATAGTAAAATATATAAACATGTTTAAAATGAATTTTATGAGATTTAACCTTACAAGCATTTATGTTGTTCTAATTAATGTATTTATCAGCAATTAGTTTTTCTTAAAATAAATCTTTTCAATTATTTTAGCAGATCATTAAGTTTATATGTTCCATAAATCAAATGATGAGTAAAAAAATTTTTTCTGTTTCATTTCTGAATTCAAATATTATTTATGGTTGCTAACCAATTTGAGATTAATTAAAATTAATGATTGTTAAATTATATATTTATTTAAACATTTTCTTTAATACTATACAACATTGCATAAATATTCTTGCATTGCTCGTCATTGCTTAAGTATACATTAAGAAATATGCAGTAAACATATTAAGATAGCTTTTATGAAAGTTAATCTTACAAACAATATTACTAAATGGTTTGTATTGAATTGAGTGAATATAGAGATCAACGATTGTTTAAAAGATGAAATTTTTGGCAGGAGATAGTTTCCTTTATTAAAAGTTCATTTCTGTTCATAAAAAATTGTGTAAACAATATTTTATTTCCTTCATAACACAAAAAAATTATGTAAGTCCTACGTATTGTACTTGAAACTGTTCGGATACATAACACTTTTTTTCTGTTTAAATTGACATGTTTATTAATTATTAAAAGCAGAGATATGTTTATCAAGAAATAGATTTTGTTCTCATTGAACTTACAATATTGATAAATGATTTGTATTAAATTACATGAATAAAGAAGTTAACAATTGTTTTAAAAGCTGAAAATATTGGCATGAGATAGTTAAATGAATTTTTAATTAAGAAACTGATATTTTATTTATTCCTATAACCTAAAAATAACAACAGCAGCAGTACTTTGTTTTTATAATCTAAAAATATTAAATATTAATTAATAAATTAATTGTTAAATTATATTATATTTAAATATATGTGTATATAAAAGATTATTTTCTATTTAATTTTACATGCTTATTAAGTATAATAAACAAAAACGTACAGTAGACCCCCCTATAACACGGGTTCCTATAGTTTGGATTCCTATATCACGGCGAAAAAATTGCGACAGTATTTGTACAAACACGCTAAAAAAACTCCTATAATTCGGTAAAACGTCATCGCCAACTCGTGCCGCGACAGGATTGGTCGAATCTAGACCAATAGCGGATATTGCACAAATCGCAGAGTTTAAATGAGCAGTAGACCTACTAAAAACATTATTTAACGTTCATAAAAATTATATTTATATTAATGATGTCTCCAAAGTTCAGCGAATTTTTTGCAAAAAAAAAAATAATTTATCAGGAAGCACGCGAGCACCATTCGATGACAAACTCCATGACAAAAACAAGCTTAAGCAATGGCGTAGTTGAATGGTGCACGCTTGGTAAGTAATCCTACAATGTTTTGTTTATAGCATAGTTTATATGGATTATTCCCAAAAAATTATACGTATTTTGGAAATGTTGAGTCGAATTAGTCTAGAATCGATTAATTTTATTGAAGAAACCTTTCAAACAGCCGTAGTCCGTAAATTGCGTACGTGCTGGGCTGTGATTGGCTGGACTCGTAGAAAATGGATTCATAAAAACTGGAATGTATCTATCGTGTTATAGGGTGGTCGACTGTATTTATTGAGAGAGAGATTCTGTATATATTAAACTTATGAACAATATTGATGTAGGATTCACATTGAATCAACATACAGAAGTAATCATTTTTTTAAAAGCTGAAATGTTGGCACAAGATAGTTTCTTCATTAAAAATTCATTTAACTGATATTATTCACTCATATCATCTAACAGTGTTTAGGTTAGTTCAATAATTATCAAATCACATAATTTTTTAAACTTTAACTGTTTACATATATATGACTCCAGAGGTAGAGTAATGGAAGAAGTGTTTTTTTTTTTTTTTTATTCTTTCAACCTCGTAGGCACTAAAAAGGTCCTTTTTCAAGCTGTTGTAAGTGTGGTCAGGCTCACAATAGGAAACAGGGTGATATGGGACAGATCACTCCTGAAAAATTCGAGAGGTTTCCACCCCGTAGATTTGATTCTGGGTCTCCAGAGCTGATGTGATGCCTTGGCTATTTAGCTAACTGTCAAGGGAGGAATCCAGAATTCATTTTTAGGTATTTAAAACTTGCTTCTTAAATTATTATTTATTATTAAATGTCATCAAACAAAACTGCTTTAGATATACCAAACAAACTTCTGGATTATTTATTGACTGCTTTATTCAGACACTAAACACTGTTTTTACAATAAACTATACAAACCAAATGTATTTAGAGCTATGCACCATCTTCAGGGTATCATAATCCTTAAAACTGCTTTATTGAGAGCTGGAATATGATGATTGGTGTATTATTATTATTTTAAAGTATTGTATGTATTTTCCGTATACCAAATTTATTTAACGTTCAATATCACAATATATGCATATTCTTTCAGAATATGCTCTTTTTAGTGTAGGTTGGGGGCTATAGGCAAAGTAAATCCATGCTTTCTAAAAGTACATGCTATTCTCAGTGATATAAAGTCCAAAAACAGTATTGGGGTGATACTATCCTCAGCTCAGTTCATCTTTGTTGCAGAGGAAAGTCTGCAGAAACAACTTGTTTTTGACCTGGTTATAGAGATAATGAAACCTGGAAAGAGAATAATCAGCATTGTGCATCACTCTATTAATAAGTTATAATTCTTTGATTGCTTTTCTCATGCTTTACGAGCTTTTAACCATCTCTAGTAAAGTGGAAAACAGATGATTTTTAACATTGTTTTGAACAATAGTTTTGGATTTTCTCTCAAATTTTACACCATTTTTGAGGGTCTTCAAAATTCCAGATAAATCAGTTTTGGGGTACACTGTACTTTACGAAGGGTCTCACACTTACCATGGCTCTTTTGTCCTTTTTTACTTCTATGCGCATGGTCTACAGCTCTCTCTAATAAAATTCCAACCACCTTGTTCAAAGCTGCAATTTTTACCAAATTATTCTTACCGAATGAATTCTTTTAAATGAGTATTCTTGTTATATACAAATGAGTAATTAATAATATATAAGCTATACAGATAGAATTTAATGAATTGTTTTAGATAATTTACTTTCCAGCAAATAAGTTTAAAAATATTTGTTTAATAAAATCATCACAGGAAATATGACTTGCTTGCATTGAATATACCTGAAACTATTTACTGAAAAGTAATAAAATTTTATTACTGAATTGATAGCAATATATTATTAAAGTAATGAATTTATATTACTTTGGATTTGTTTTTGGAAATAATAAATTTTTAAAAATAAAGTTCTAAATAAATATAATTTATAGAAATCAGTTTTAACTGAATATTTTGTAATATATTAAAAAAATAATTATTATGAACTGTAGTATTAACAAATGGTAAAAAATTGTTTATCTGTTTCTCAATGTTAATTTTACACAATGTTTTCTGTGGCAGAAATTACTTCATAACAATTATATTTATTTCAAAATAAAAAATTTTAAATAAGGCAATTGCATTGTTAATTTTATTTTAACAGTATTTAGATTAATATCAGATACATACATAGGAGAGTTAATAAAATAAAAGATTAAAAGGTTATAATAGAGATAAAAAAATTGAAAACAGTCCAAGATTCCAATTACTCATCAAAAACATGAAATTTACAAATGATTTTGATAATCATTTATTGATGTGATAAACATTTATCAAAATATTTATGACTAATATGTCTAAAAGTTTTTGGAAATTACGTGAACATGTTCTTCTATTTAGTTTATATTTGATCTTATGGATAGGATGTGACACGACTAACTCCTTTTTAATTGAGAAATGTTTTAAAATATTACTAAATAATTGCAAGTTGCAATATCCCATAGGCTAAATTCCCTAAATTGCATGTATCGTACACTGGATATTT